GAGGACTTTTAAATGCGTTTAAAAGGTCAAAAAGGTGTTGATTACGAGGTTACATAGCTTTTTTGCTTATGCTTTAATGTTCATAGAAGTCACGGTCATACGAATTCAAAACCTGGTTTAATGGCTTAAACACTACCTTCCCGCTTGATTTTCTGCTTGTATTAGGTTCAGAATAGTGTCTACGTGGTCGAAATGTCGACGGGATGTGGATTCTGATATCACGTGATGTGAGGTTATCCCGACATCGAGGTAGGGCAGCTGAAGGCGGTCAGGCCCGCCTTCAGCATTCTGGCCCCCTCCCTTAAATCTAGTAGATGTTGGACCTCAAGCGCATCATCTCTTTGCTCTCAATCATCCTAAGCTTGGTGTCTAAGGTTCTGTTTTCAGACTACTGAGTAAGGTCGACTTAATCGACACCGTTAACCAGCCTCGGAAGGTTGAGTTCGAGCCTCGGCTCGAACTGATATTTCGGTATAATATATCCTGACAGGTCCGCTGATCGCAGACTTACCCAGCATCGATCGAGCCAAGTACCATCTGCTTTTGACCCTTCGAACGCATATAAAAGTCCTCATCGTCAGAAACCTCTTCACCCCGCTTCTTACGTGCAACTTTCTCGTTTCTCCCCAGTGTTGAGAACCCGAGCTTCGACTTTGAGTCCACAATCCATCAACGACGGCAAACGGTCCATGCTGAGGGAGACTGCCTGCCGCTAATCCAAGACTCCTGCTGCTACGTGCAACATCGCTATCAAGCCCAAGCAACATTGGACTTATTTCAGCGGATTATGTTTCTATCGCTATGATCAAGAATCCTGGATATGTGCAGTCTCCCGCTGGGTTTATGCATGCCATCGGAACAGATCCATCCCACAACTCTAAAATCCGATTTTTATCCTGCTGCAGCTTAGTCAAGGCATATCATCTTGGCTGGAAAGCCGTACTATAGATATGGGAATCCGAATAATCTATGATATGCCTCCCCTCTGCTTGCTCGGTAAAAATGTTACTTCTAAGCTCCAGGATATATTCGTGGTAATTGATGTATCACCCCGTCCGACAACCACTATACTCATTGCATGAAATACTCATCATCGGATTATGCCATCTTAGACGGCCACTGCTGTTACCTACCTATCACAAGGGCTGAGCATACGCCCCTTCATGGGAAACTGGGATCTAGCATGCGGCTAGGGACAGCTTCTTATTCAAAGAGACCAAAAGTTAGGATATGCCTTGATGCATTACTACCAAGCGGACATCCTCATGAGCCTACCGGCTACTCAATCTACAATGTCTATTTCATCAGGACTGATACCCTCTGGAGTCAATTGCGGACAAAGAGCCAGTCATTCAATCCGCCACCATGCGTAGCACATTCAATGACGCAAGGTATTCCAGGGCTGCTGCCTGCAAAGACTACCTACTTCAATCATTCAATAACCATGTTTCTCGGCAGGCTTCATTCAATCTTGATTAGATTTTTGGCTTCACTAACCACAATGGCCTTGTTGATGGCTATTGACTCTGTTCTCCTCCTTCGTCTTCCTGTTCCTATCCACTCCCACTCCCACTCCCACACACGTACCAAACATCCCTTTCTTCCAGTTCCAGTCTTTCGCTCTCTCTAATTCTTCCTCTTTTTCTACCATATGCTCTTTTGGTAAGCTATCTCTGCCAAAGAAGAAAAGCGCTGGCGATCACATATCTGTAAGTCAAGATCCACCTGAAACTGGCTATCCTGTTACTCAGACGTAGTGAGAATGGCGAGATTCGACGAGCAAAGTGTCTCTGACTAACGACTCGACCACAGAAACATCACCCTAGAATGCCGATCCAAGACGTGTCATGCTACCAAAAAGGCACGTCCAAGTCTTATGACTGAGTTATCATTTTCTGTGGCCATATCGATGACTGCATCAAAGCAGTCTATAGATCCTCAACTCAAGGGAATCTTACGAATCGATGGCAGCTTCCAGTGCGGAACCATCGTGAGCAGGATTAGGCGAAAAGCTTCAATGCGGATGCAGTATATCAGCATTGCTGATGTATCCATCTGTGGATAACAGCATCATTGTCCAACATCGTTACCAAAACATCAATATAACCGCATCATCATCATCATCACACCATCATTCGAAATGCCAGCACTTCCTTTCCACATCGATTTCAGCCGTTCGACACCCAGCTCAGCCGCTATTCCGAGTGGAAGCAAAGACACAGAAGTGAAAATCAATACCGTTTCTATGCCATTATATTACAGATAGGGCACTATATGTGCCCCTAGTCCTCTATCCAGAGCAAACCGCAAGCCCATTATTATTTGGATTTTGAACCCTCAATTCGATGCTCAACTTTGTTCGTTGGAAGCCCTTTGCTTTTTTTTCTTGCCGGTGTTACCTTCACCAAATGTAGCTCGCTCTTGCGCATGTTGTGAAATATCGGCGAATCAGAAGACCATCTTCTCGCGCATACGGTTATCACACCGAGAGCATATTGCTCACTATGAATAGTCTGTTTTTACAGGCTTTCATTGATTGTGCAGGTGGAGCCCCTGGTCTGGGGTCAGGATGCCCCAGATGATATTCTCGAAGAGCCAGGCGTATCAAGAAACGCCGCCTGATCCCGGGCCAGGAGCTGCGGATGCAGGAGCTAAAGGAGGCGGCCGCCCAGACCCGAGGTGCCTAGAAGCTCCTTCGGGAGCAAGTTGATCGTGCCGTCTCTGGCCGCAGAAGAGCGCGTCGAGGTCGCCAAAAAGGCGGCCGGAGAGGGGCGCGACAGCCTCAAGAAACTTTACGAGGGTATCCGTAGCATTCGTAAGGAGGCGGAGGAAGCGGGTCAGCCCCTCCTGTAGTAGTTAGTTTTTTTTTTTTCAACTTTTTTCTTTTAGAAAAACATCCAACCCAAGGAAGCGGCACAGGCTATGACAGAGCACTTGGAATTGATGATGGGAGTGGCTCGCACGGCCGACAAAACCAGTGAGATATTTGAGAATTTGCGGTCCATATACCGATGTCCCAACTCCTTGGCTATATGGACAAGTACTTTATCCCAATAGTCTCACCTTCGGTGACAATCTAATGTCAGCCTAGGATTGGTGAATCTATGAAGAACAGCAGGAGGGAAATGCTGGTTGTTTTGATGCCATTACAGATGGCAATCAGTTCGATTTATCGTCCTCAACAGTTGGGGCTTTCTTATGCAAGTAGGTTTCGTACTTTCTCACCAAGAAGACATGCTTGCTGTTTCTGTTTCGTAATTATAGGCTGTCACAGTAACAATGTATCAACTTCGAGTGCTGAAATGATGTATACTAACCCGGGGCGATATTCTTCCGCTCCGGCATTGCGTACTAGTCGGAAACCACTTCTCTTCTCCACCTTCACTTCAAGAAGGTATCACCTTTGATAGTGATGACTCGACTGACCTGAATGTGACGTAAATAAAACATTGAGCTAGGATGGGCAGAAGCTCCTGGCGTGCTTAAAGCTGTCGGACGTGTCTGGCAAGAAAGGTCAAGGTGAGCCTACACTGCTCCACTTCTCGGCTGTTACCCCGGATTCTAACCAAAGGCCCACTCCGGTCCAGTGTGACAAAACCCGACCCAAATGTACTCGGTGCCAATCTTCGAAGTCGACTTGTGGAGGATACTCACGAATGTAAGGGTTATCCTGCTTGTCACACAATGCCTGCTAATAATGGGAGTAATGCCATGCAGCAGCAGCAGCAGCAGCGCTACGATAGGTCACAGAACACATACTACACACCCTGCACATTCTGCACATCCTTCCTTCGAGTGCGGTCAGCAACCATTGGTCGTTTACCAGGATCTGATACAACTGATCGCTCACTTCCTCGACGACTACCTCCCACCAAAGACCCCAGATGCAGTCACTTATCAATCGCCCGTCAACTGGGCCGAGACCTTTTCTTCTTTCTTGGAGGCCCAGTTGCCCATAGTCCACAGGTCGCTAGCTGCTTGAACCCTAAATCATGTCGCCAACAGCCGCCATGACTATACCCTCAGCCAACGGAGTAAGGAGCAGTACGAGCTTGCGGTGCAGCAGATATGCGCCGTCAACGAGGTAGCCCACTGACCTCATCCGCAGTGGCGTGATCTTGGCCCTATACGAGCCGTACACTTACCCGCCAGCGCAGAACAGTGGTGCATGGCAGGTACATGTGCAAGCAGCCTGCCATATCGTACGGCAGCTGGAAGCACCCACCACAGTGCTCAGCAAGCAGGACGTGCGACGGCTCCGTACCGTCGATGTATATCTCTGCCTTTCGTCGTATGGTATTGGACCCTGCTGATGACTGCATTGCTTAGTTCCTCCGCATCTGCATCAATGGACACATTACGCCAGCCCCAAGTCTTGATTCGCTTACGGTGGCTCATCAGACGTCTGCGATCAGCTTTTGGATATACTGTTTCAGATTATACAAACGTTATCGGCTGTGCGACGGAAAACACTATCGGGGGGGATCGACCGGTACTCTGCTGACCGTCTTATGCGAAGTGCATTGTTCCACGAGGGGCAAATGCTCCATTGGTACCAAGGGTTGGAGTCTATGAATGAAAGCCCCCCGTATGTGAGCCGAGCATCGGTCGTGTCGGCAAGAGCTCCTGCCTCTGGAGATATATTGGCGTTCTCAAGATTTTCGGTCATACCGCTTGTGCTGCTGTATTGGCTTGGTATGGTAGCCGTCTATGCATTCCTAGCCGAGATACTCCAGACGCTCAAGCGACCCGGGCAGTTTGAAGCGTCGACCACCTTGCCACAGCGGCTGAAGAAGGCTGAGAATCTGTGCCACTACTTTACTACTCGTATCAACCAGTGCCACGCCGGATGTGCGGGCCTGGGGCTGGGGACTGCTATTCTGGCCGCAGCAGCCTCTTTAGCTGCACGGCAGATATGCTCAGTCCGGCAAGATCGATCAAACATGACAATGGCAAATAACGGACTTGCTTGATCGGCACATTGAGATCAAATTTACAGCTCAAAGGTCGAACTTCTCCCCGACCAGTTCCTCCGTGAGAACCCACAGCTTCTCCGCGTTGTCTCGACTTAAAGCATACGCAGCAGCCTGGTCACTAGCAATTTGGCTATTGACCAGGTACGACCCCGTTGCTCTCTGTTAAATGTCAGTACCAGCCCATACCTAATGGGAAGAAACTCACCAGCAATACTCGGCTCAAACCCGGCCACAATCAACGTCGTGGCTGCCTGGCTCAAGGATCTCCAATTCAACTTGGGATCATCAACGACCCTTCCATCCTCAGTCTTCCATCCTGTCAACGTCCGTCAGTCCATTACGCCGGACCAAGAAGACGAATGCTTATTTACCAGCCTTCACCAATTCCTCCAACACCAAATGCCTCACGATGCCCGACAGGACCCTCCCAGGGTAGAGACTAAACGAGATGACCCGACGATCTCCGATTTTCTCCGCCAAAGCCACGGAAAACAGCATATTCGCCGTCTTACTCTGCCCATGAGCCTGCCACTTGTCGTAAACGCTTCCATCCTAACCATCCAGCATTAGCATCCACACTCCCCGAACAGAAATAAGGGGAAAGAAGGAAGACGACAGTACCTCAAACCCGACGTCCCCAAACCTCACCCCCCCCCCCTCTTATGCCCCGCACTACTCACATTGACCACCCTCACCACCTCCCCAACCTTCCCCCTGTTACCGGTCCGCTCCAGCATCCCCCGAATTAGCAGATCCGTGAGCAGGAAATGCCCCACATGATTCGTCCCGAACAGCAACTCCACCCCTTCCTCCGTCGTGGCATACGGACAAGCCATCACCCCCGCATTATTGATGATGACACCCACGCCACTAGTGTCTGCCAGGACCTCCGCAGCCGCGCGACGCACACTCTCCTGGCTCGCAAGATCCAGGACCACAGGTCTGACCCGAAGGGCGGGTGCCCTCTCGGCGACGCTTGCGGTGATCGTCTCCAATGTGGCGGGATTCCTGCCAGCCAGGATAAGGGGGGAGGGATGGTGCGTGGCCGGCAGCGAGGCGAGATCGAGGGCTGTCGCGCCGCCGATGGAGGTGGGCGTGGGCCCGGTTATGAGGACTGCATGTGGTGCATTCCGTTAGTCCAGCATGAACTCAGCACAAGGTAAGAAGCAAGCGAAACCGAAGGGCAAAGAAATGAAGAAAGAGCAAGGTGAAGAGAATGGGCAAGTCTAGGTGAACCAAACCCACCATTTTCCCCGCGGATATGCTCTGCAAGCGCAGCGCAGGCCTCTTCGGCGGTGGTTTGGGATGTATACGGTGTCTTTGGTATCGTGGTGAGCTTGGTATTCTATGAATGGAGTTTGAGGTTGGGTGGTTTGGTGGATGCTGCCGTGGCGAGATGAGGACGTGGTTAATTGTGGTTTGGTTAGGGGATTTATGCGGTTTATATGGTCCCTACTCAAAGAGCAAGCGAGATCTATACCGTGGACTTGACTCACGGTGATAATGCAGATAGTCAGTCGGATTTAAGCACGGGTGTTGATGACCAGCCAATCTGCAGCCAATCGGGGTGGGTCTAAGACCGAGTTTTACTGGGCTGAGTGCCCCGGTACCGGTGCCAGGTGCCAGGCTAGGCCATTGTTCCTATCCATTGTTCCTATATACCCTACCTACCTGCGTAACGTAGCGCTACGCTGGTTCATTCCCACCGGGAATCTGGTCTGGCTAACTTCCCATTTTGGCAATCTCCGCAGGCCTTTCTCACGTGCTTCGATGAGAACTTATCAAGGGTAATAATACTCTTTTTATTCAAGAAACTGCTCGCTCCATCCCAAGGTCGCCAAAACTGTTTGTTACATGATTCGCAGGGGTTATTCAGGTCTACACTTGACCCAGAGCGACGTCTACACCCACTACTCTTCCGATATACAGAACCAGCTACGTATACATCCATCGTCCATCCAATAAAGAGACATCGGCCATGGGATTTCCACTGATATAATTGTATACTTTACTATACTTTCGTTCATTCAACTCATAATCATCAATTCACACCCCGATAACTCAAGCCAACCCCATATCCTTATAGAAGGCATCAGTCTTGGGGGCGCGGCCCAGGAAGTCGGTCAAGATGGACATCTCGTCCTGACTGCCGCCCTTCTCGAGGACCTTGAAGCGGTAGCGACGGCCGGCTTCGGGATTCATGGGGTTCTCCTTGAAGACGGTGTAGAACATGTCGGTGGAGTAGACTTGCGAGCTGGATTGGGGTTAGCATGAGTTACCCTTGACAGAACGGGACGCGCGCTTACCTCAGATACCCATAGTATCCGGCATCATAGCCGCCGATCAAATGACCGAACGTGGCCTCGCCGTGGCCCCATTCCTCGCCGAGCCCCAGACTCTCGGGCCCCTCGATCTGGGTGATCTCGTGGCGCAGGCGGTTGTAGGTGGCGGAGATGGGCAGCTGCTTGATGTGCTCGTGGCTCTCGGGCTGGTGGACGGTCATGTCGAAGATGCCGAAGTGCAGCTGGCGCAGGTTGAAGAGGGCGTCGTTGACGTGCTTGGTGCGGATGAGGTTGGCGATGATCTCGTCCGGGATGTTCTCGGCGGGCGGGGTCTTGCCCGCGGCCTGCTCCTTCCACGCGGCCAGGTATTCAGGCGACAGGGTCGAGTAGTGCCGGCTCAGGGATTTCAGCTGCGAGGGCGTCCAGCACCAGTTCTCCAGCATCTGGCTGGGGGCCTCGACGAAGTCGCGCACGGTGCTCGTGCCGTGGAAGCGCGAGTAGATGGTTTTGGACACGAGGTCGTGGATGCCGTGGCCCAGCTCGTGGAAGAGCGTCACGACCTCGTCGTGCTTCAGCAGACTCGGCTTCTTCGGGGTGGGCTTGGTGAAGTTGCACACCAGCGCGGTCGCCGGGTAGCGGCGGTTGCCGTCGGCGTCGATGAAGCCCTGGCAGATTGGTTAGTGTAGGTTATTTTGATGACGCAGAAGGACAGAAATACCGGCTGGAGGTTGAAGTTGGCGGCGTGGCCGTACTTTCCGGTCCGGGGGAACAGGTCCAGGTAGAGGTAGCCCACGAACCCGCTGCCCTCGGATTCGTCGTTCCACACACTAAAGATCTGGACATCCTCGTGCCAGACAATGTCGCTGCCCTTGCCCGAGGGAGCCACCTTCTCGCGGTCCTCGCCCGTGATCTCCACGAACACAAGACCGAAAAGCTCCTCGAAGATCTTGAGCATGCCCTCGATGGTGGTCTGCAGGGGGAAGTACTCCGCAATGAGCTGCTGGTCGAGCGAGTACTCCTGCTCCAGCAGGAGACGGTCGTAGAAGCGGTTATCCCACAGGTAGTAGTGGCCGTCGAACTCCTCGCCCCGGGACTCGACGTCCTTCTTCTTCAGCTCCAGCAGGGTCTTGAGCTCCTTCTGCCCCCCGGCCGTCAAGCGGGAGCGCAGGTCGCCGAGGAAATCGTTCACAGTCTTGGGCGTCTTGGCCATCTTGTCCTCGATGCGGAAGGCGGCGTGGTTGGGGTATCCGAGCAGCCGGGCCGCCTCGTCCCGCAGGATGATGGCCTCCTGGAAGAGGGGCACGTTCTGGTTGCACTTGTTCTCGTTCTCGATGGTGACCTGCTTGCGGGTTTCCGCGTTCTTGGCGTACTTCATGGTGGGGAAGAGGTCCGGGTACTTGAAGGTCAGCCACAGCTTGCCCTCGTGCTCGCCCTCGCCCTTCTTCAAGCCCGACAGAACATCCTCGGGGACCCCGTCCAGCTGCTCCGGGGTGAACCAGATGCCCCCGCTCTCCTCGTTGAGGTTCTTCTGGAACTCGATGCTGATCTGACTGAGCCGCTTCTTGATCTCCTTGAAGCGGTCCCGCTGCGGGCCGGCCGGCAGGCCCAGGCCGTTGCGGATGTAGTTCTTGTGCTCCTTCTCCAGCAGCCGGCGGGACTCCGGGTCGAGCGACTCGTCCTTCTTCAGCACGGCGTCGACGAGCGTGAACACGTCCTCGCGCATGACGGCCTCGATGAAGAACTCGTCCATCAGCGCTTCGGCCTTAGACGAGGCGTCCCGCAGCTCCTGCTCGGTCGACACCGCCTGGTAGAAGCTGAGGATGTGGGATTCCAGCGCCATGGCGTTCTCATCGTGGGCCAGGCGCTTCACGACAGCGTCGAAGGTGGCCGACTCGGGCTTGACGGTGGCGACGACATCGTCCTGGATCTTGCGGGAGCTGGCAATAAGCCGATTGGCGTCGTCGAGGATGGACTGGGCGGTGGCCGTGAAGACGGGAGGAGCCTGAGGAGGTCGGCGGAGGTGCTCGGGGGCCATGCTGGCGGTGGTGAGAGATTTGCGGAGATTCGTCAACCCTGGGTTAAGAGTGGTGGGCAGCAGTCGAGAGCCACGGAGATGGCCCAGGACTGAAGTGAGTCGAAAGGTGGGGGAGGAAATGCGAAGCGGAGGAGCCACGGTGACGAGGAAAACGCCCAGGAGAAGGACGAGGAGGGCGGGTAGATAAAAGGTGCGGCGGAATTGAGGGGTAGCAATGGTGGAAGGATGGCGAATGGGCAGGTTGAGCTGAGAGGGGGAGAGGGGGAGAGGGAGCGGGGAACAATACGTGGCTATGCAGTTGTGATGCACGACAATGAGAGTTGAGGGTGTGGGTGAGGGAGGCAAGCTGTTGTTGCCAGTTGAACCTCGAGCTCAACTCAGTTAGCGGAGGTTGGTCAGTTCAGGTCAGGTGGATCCCACTGCAGTGACCGCACCACAACAAAAACCCACACAACCTCTCTTTCTTTCTCCACAGTCTGTCAGTCAGTCTATAACCCACACTCAGTACCCTTCAAGTTTCACCAAGTCTCACCATTCCACAATTCCACTAATCCTCACTGCTATGCCTGCTGATCTACTGCACAACCAAGCTGACAAACAGCCATCGATCATCCTGCATGCACCCACTAATAACATTGTGCGGGGTTGGCAACCCAGTGAACCCTGACCCTACGAACAAGCCAAGCCTACAAGAACCAGACTTTGATGTGGATATCTTCATTGCTCTATTCTTAACAAGCATTGTGGAGTTTCGATCATATCATGTCGCTTTTCAAATGCGCAAGCCACTCATCAAACTAGACACGCTCTGTCTGCGGGGGTTTAAAAAAAAGAAAAGGAAAACAAGTCAAGGCTAACTCCGGAAACTCCCAACACTCGGAATATCATCAAACGCCCTGTGTGCTAAATTATAAAAACAGGAGACATCGCCAGAGGCGGAAACAGGACGCAAATTGTACATTCATGATAAGAAGTAGTCATGAACGAGTCTCTTATGCCGCATCGGCGGTGGGGATAGGCTCGGGGATCTTGGTCACCTGCTCACCAGCGCGAATGACCCGCTGGCCGGAGCCATCGCGGACATACTCGACGCCCTCCTTCTGAGCACGCTTCCAGATCTCAACCTCGCATCCACCACGGATGACACCAACCCGCATGGTAGAGAGCAGGTTGTGGGCGGCGTTGGAGTGGTAGTAGATACCACCGTTGAACATGGCAGTGGCGTCCTTGCCAAGACCGGAGTTGATCATAGCCTTGCCACCGGGGTGGTCCTTGATGAAGTCGGTCACGTCGTGAACAACACCGGCGATGGCGACGAGGCCACGGCCATTCTTGGCCTGCTCAACATAGTCATCCCACTCCATAACGGGAAGCTGGTCGAGGGGAGTACCCCAGTCGAGTCTGGCGCGCTTCTGGTCGATCTTCTTCTGGAGCTGCTGAACACGGCCCTTCTCGATTTCGTTGGCGCGGAACTGCTTGAGGTCGTAGGCGAGTCCAAGCTGCTTCCAGATCCAGATGCTCCACTTGGTGGGGTCGTACTGGTGCCACTCGATAGCGTTGCGGTAGTCGGAGGGGAACTCGTGGTGGAAGTTGTGGTAGCCCTCACCCAGAGTGACCAAAGCAGTGATGACGTGGTCACGAGGAGAGTTGCGGTCGTCGAAGGGCTGGTCACCGAGCCAGTGGGCAAGCGAGTTGACACAGAAAGTGGCCTGCTGGACGAAGAAGATACGCAGAATACCGGCGTAAACAAAGCCGCCCATCCAGTCACCCCAGCCGAGACCGGCAACGAGCATTGGAACAGCCAAGCCCATGCCGAAAACGACCTTGAGGTAGTTGCGGTGCTGCCAGACGACGACGGGGTCTTCGTTCAGGTCGGAGATATCGGTACGGCCGATACGCTTGGGGTTCTGCTTCATCACCATCCATCCAAG